TCCCTACCGCCCGCCTAGGCCGCACAGCCGCGCCGGCGCGGCCGAGCGCGCCGGTCCGGGTCCCGGTCCCCGCCAGCACCGAGATGCGCCCGGGAGCCGCCGCGAGCCCAGCCCCGACAGGTACGGGGAAGGGGCGGGGCAGGAGGGAGGGCAGCGCCCATCCCCGCGGTCTCGGGGCTCCCGGTCCGGCGGGATGCCGCACGCCCCGTGGCGTGGATGCGGACTCGGGTGGCGGCCGCGCATCCCCGGGGCCGCGGCTGGAGCCCCGGGAGTGCGGAGCGGCAGCTCCTAGAGCCGTCCCGGTGCTGGGCGCCGGCCGCGGTGGGGCTGAGCCCCTCGGCACGGCGTGTCCTGGGCCGGGGAGGTCCCGGCTGGGCTGCGCCCGCTCCCCGCCTGAGCCGCTGCCTCCGGCGTCCCTGAGAAGGGGCCGTGGGGCAACTCGGCACCCCTGCGTGCTGCCGTGGCTGTCGTGAGCCCTGGGCGAATGAGGCGAATGATACCAGCCGGGCTCTGACGAGCTGGGAGCATCTCCCAGAGAAGCCCCTCGCCGGGGTGGTGCCCGCGGGGTCTCCCTGCCGTGGGCACAGAAGTGCCTGCGGCTTTCTTGCTGAGGGGTGGAAGCAGGGGACACTTTTCCACCTTTCCCAGTGCTCCCCAGGCTCACCGGGTGTTGCAGGGGCCCATTGCGAGTGCCCTTTGTGACTCTGTCCCAAGCTCTGCTGTGTCAACACGCTGTTGGTAAATGGCTTTGTTTAACCAGGACATGTTGGGTATGTGACCTTGCAGCCCTCGTGGTTGGAAGCGCATCTCCAAAGCAGCTGCCGAGATCACCTCTGCCTGGCACTGCGCTACCCAGCCCGGCGGCTCCCTCGGGGCGGCAAGGGAGAGCAGGACGCACCAGTGTCAGCCTGGCTCCCTGCGAGCCGTGGCGGCTGGATGGGCAGAGGACAGGGCATCAACTGCTGCCAAGCCAGCGCTGCCGAGCGTGCGTCTGCCCAGTGCCTTGCCCCGCACCCTGTAGTGTAGCCGCCTTGCCCCATGCAGCACTCGGCAGCACGTTGCGGGTGTCCTGACACATGCCAAATTCAGTGGTTGCCCCTGCGATTTCCTCGGCTTTATCTGTGCATCAGCAGGAAAATTTAGGGCCCGCAGGACCCCTCCTCGGCATGTTAGTGCCACCCCAGCTGCCGGCTCCTGTCCTTCCCACCAATCCCCGCTCCTTTCTGCAAGCTGCGGTGCAGATTTTTTTAATGTTCTGTTGCCTGGAGGGTGGAAAAGAGAAAAGGCTGAAGGGAGAAGAGGCAAAATGTGGATTAAAAATAGTTAATGAAAAAATGTGACCGCAAGCCCTGATCAGCAGTGCAGGGCTGAGACCAGCCACCAAGCACAGTGCTGTGCCATGCACCTCGCTGTGCCAGGCAGAGGCAGAGGCAGACTCTGGGCAAGCTGGATGCAGGGGAGATGGCACGGCCATTCCGCTCTGTCCCCTTGTGCTCCTCCACTGCATCCTGCCCTACCCTGTGTCCCCCACAGCCACAGCCCCTGTCCTTGTCTGTCTACCCCAAATCCGGGGGTCTGGGGAACCTGGCTGTGAGAAGCAGGCGCCAGCAGATGGCTGGGCATGAGTGCCGCACTACCTGCCTCCGGTGGCTGGCTGTGCCCAGGTGCTGCGGGTACCTTGGGACAGGGAGGGACCCTGCCAGAACCTCTTCCAGGGTGGGCTGTGGTGGGGCAGCTGTGGCCAATGTCACTTGCACATCTGCACCTCGGCAGAGCAGGGTTTGAGCTCACTCCTCAGTGAGGTACCAGGAGGTTGTCCCCAGCTCCGTAATGACCGCAGCATTCATTCGTGACACAAGCTGCTCTGGGGAGGCAGGTGCTGAACTCCCAGTGCAGGCGTGCGTGCGCAGACGCCTGTCTGCACTGACCTTTTCCTAGGCTT